GGGGGGGGGGGGGGTTGAAGCTTGTGAGGGCGGAGGCGTTGTGGAGAGTGGCGCGCGTGGGTGCTGGGTGAGCACGCATGAGCGCACACTCATACACACAGACACACACACACGCACAAACGCACACACTTGAACACACACACACACACCTGGACATATACACATGGAAACACACACACACACACACACACACACACACACACACCCGTGCGTGCAAACACCCCGACACAAGAACTCACACACACACATGCACACACAAGAAGACACACTCGCTTACACTCTGCCTGTGACCATATCTGCCGGTCTCTCTCAAAAACAACCCCACAACGCAAACGCCCTCACCACACCAATACCCCCACCACGCAAACACCCCCAACTTGCAATCAGCATCGCGCGTGCGCCCGCACCTCGTCGTCGTCCTCGTGGATGGCTGTGTCAGAGGCCGCAAGCGTCTTCTCGTCCGTGAACAGGGGGTCGCCCGCGGTGTAGTGGTCCATGATGGCCGCAAACACCTGCGCATTGGGGGATGAGGGGGCCGGCAAGGGGCGACAATAGGCAGCTTCAAAAAATGCCAGCCGGAGCCGTGCGAGCCGGCGAGGCAGGGCGGCGCCCGGAGGGGATGGGCGCGCGCATGGTGTGGCACGGCGGCCTCAAGGCGCGCCAGCAGATCTAGGGCGGTGCGCTTGCGGAACATGCGCCAGGGGCGCAGGAAGAGGAGCCGACCTGAGGCTTCAGCACGGCCCACGCAACGTCGTCGCTTTTGGTGACAGTCACGAAGTCGCTGCCGTAGAAGATGCCTGCAGGTGTGAGCAGGGATGGGCGTTGGGGTTCAAAATTGTGCTATTTCAAGAGGGGGGGGTCAGGGGGTGCGAAGGGACCATTTGATGGCAGGCAACCGGAGCCGCTGCTGACCGGCTGCTCCCTCGCTGTTGAATCGCGTGCCACCGCAGGTCCCCAAAATGCAACTTTCCCAACGCCTGATTAGAATGCCGCTTGCATTGCCACAGTACCCCGCGCTGGCCAGCAAATCAGCAGCAGCGCAACACCCAGCCCACCTGTGACGCCGTCGATGGCGAAGAGCCGCTTGGCTAAGGGAGAGGCCATTGCAGCACGCGCGCTGGCAAACTCAAAGCTGCCGCTCTGTCAAGATATGAAGCAACCGGCAGTGAGGGCGGTCGTGCACGGCTACAAGCTCGCACCGCAATGCTGCACAAAGCAGGCCGGGGTATGGCGAGAGCGAGGCTGCAGCCAATGCTGCGTGCATTCATGTGCTCTGTGCCAGCTAGCGGAGGCTGGTGTCCTTATGAGTGGGGCCCACCTGCATCACGGGCTTCCCAGGCACGAACATGAGGCTCTGGGGGTTGGGCGTCGGCTGCGTCTGGATGAACATGCCGCGCCGCGCGTGCTGCTGCCACGGGCCGCCCGGCGCCGCCCATGCTGCTGTAGAGCCCAGCAGCGATGGGTGGCCCCAGCGCTGCTGCTCCTGCTGCTGCTGTTGCTGCTGCTGCGAGGCGCCCCGGTGCGGCGCGGGCATGCGCCAGGGCAATGTAGTCGCCTGTGTGTAGGTGGTTCTGATTACAGCCAGCAGCATGGCGGGGTCGTGCGCGCACAGACGCCTTGCGAAGCGTGCGCATCGCCGCAACGAACAAGCGGCACCGCACCGTTGCCAGGCACCGCAGCTGCTGCTCCGCCATGTGACAATTCGCCACCAGATATGCTGCTGCACGCCTCATCTTATAGTACCAGCCTGGATCGCTTTGGAGGTGTGGTATCGTATCCGTGTGATCTCGTGCTTTCTTGGGGTGTGTACGTTGATGCGAATGAGCTTCAATGCACAACTTGCGTAGTGTTGTGATTGGAGCTCAGCTCAAGCTAGATATATCGGTATTCTGTGAGAACAACCAGGTGTCCTCATCACTGTCGCAAGTTGCATTCACGCAGCTGCAGCAGTGCCACGCCATGGAACCGATCGAGGGTGCATGCGTGGACCTCATCATCAAGAGCCCTTCTAGGCATGCAGACTGGCGCCTCAACTGCGTGCCGGCCAGCGCCACCGTGGAGGAAGTGCAACGCCTCATTCAAGACGGGCTTGACGCGCCCTGCCAGCAACAGACGGTGCGACGCATGCATGCAATCACCCTAATCACTCTGTTGTCCTGTATATGAGTCCAGTCGCCGCAGCGGTGCGCCTTTGGGGACACGCCTCGGGCCGTCGCATGCCTGCGCCATGTTTGTGCACGGCGTGTGCAACCGTGCACGGCTCCGCCTGCCTGCCTACCCTCGCAACCTGGACCCCCCTGCCTGCCCTGCACGCAGCTAATATACGGCGGCAGGGTGCTGAAGAACCCTGGGGAGCGGCTGGCAGACATACTGCCCCAGGTGAGCCCCCTTCTTGCTGCCCGGACCGTGTGCGCCGACGCCATGTCACCCCGCGGCTGCGCCCGCTTGAGTGGGACCAATCCGTCCGCCCAGCCGCTACAATGGCGCCAGGGCGCCACTGATGCATGCTACCAGCCGACTGCCCGACCCACTCGTACACCGCACTCGCCCGTATCCCCCGCAGCCGCTTGACACCCAGCACCCCCACAACCTGCACATGGTCCTTCGGCCAATGGCCCCGCCGGCCCCTCGGGGGCTGGACAGCAGCTCAGGCACCTCCGGTGCCGCCGCGGCCTCTGCCACGGCGACTCCCCGCGCCGCGGCGGCAGATCGCGCGGCGCCGCCGCCCACGCCGTCGACCCCTGCGCTCGTGTCGAGGGCAGGCAGCACGGCGCCCGCCACAACCTCCATGGAGCCGGCGTCCCCTTCCGGGCTGCAGGGTCCGGCTGAATCGCCTGCGGCGCCGGGTGCGGACACTGGCTTGGTGACAGCCGCAGCTGCATCCGGTGCAGTGCCGCCACAGCAGCAGCAGCAGCAACAGCAGCAGCAGCAGCAGCAGCAGCAGCAGCAGCCCTTCGGCTTGCTGCCAGGTGCTGCATCACCCGCACCACTGGTGGGTGCGATCCCGCCGCTTTTCATGCTGAACCCAGTGGTAGCGGCAGCCTACCAGGCAGCATACTCCGCAGCGATCGCCGCCGCCCAGGGCATGGCAGCGCAGGCTGAGCGGCAGTCGAGCGCTGCTGCCGCCGTTGGCACCAGCACCGCAGGAACAGGCGCAGGCGCGCATGCGCCCGCCGCGGCGGCCGCGCGTCCGCTGCTGGCAATGGCGCCGCCCTTCGCGGCACCCGCCTATGGGTTTTACCCCTACTTTGCCCCGGCTGCCTATGGCACGCAGTCAGCAGCGATGCAGCAGCTTCCTTATCCGCTCCAGGGCTTTGGGTTTCAGCAGCAGCCTTTCAATCTGCAGCCACAGCTGCCCCTGCAGCCCCAACAGCAGGAACAGCAGCAGCAGCTGCTGCAGCAGCAGCAGCAGCAGCAGCAGCCACACGAGCAGCAACAACAGCAGCATGAGGAGCCACGATTGCAGCAGCCTCAGCAGCAGCAGCCGCACCACCACTTGCACCACCACCATCACCACCTACGACAGCAGCAGCAGCAGCAGCAGCAGCAGCAGCAGCAGCAGCAGCAGCCTCCTCACCGTGACGCGCTGGTGGGCATGGTGCAGATAGCGGGGGACGGGCAGCCCGACCCCCAACAGATGGCGGAGGCCGCCAGGCAGGCGCTCGCGCAGGCAGGGTGGCCGGCGGGCATCCGCTACCGCCTGCAGCCCGCCGCGCCCGGCGTCGCGCGCGTCATCGCTGAACTGCCCGCGGGCGCGCCGCCGCCGCGCGGCGGCGCCGCGCCCGGCGCCGCGGGCGAGGGGCGGGGCGGCGGGGCTCGGGCGTTCACGCTGACGTTCAGCCTGAGAGGGTTGCTGGGGCTGGCGCTAGCTGCTTATCAATGCTACCTGGCCGTCACCCTGCTGTATGAGCACTCAGCAATGCGGTGGGCGGTCTTCGCCCTTGCCTGCTTCGCGGCGGTGCGGGCCCTGCGCAACTGGCAGCAGGCGCGCGAGCGGCAGCAGGCACTGCGTGCGCTTGCCGCCGGCGACACCGGCCTGCCGGCGGCGCGGGGCGCGCTGCAGGAGGGCGTGGATGTTGTGATTGCGTTTCTGACGTCGCTGCTGCCCGGCCGCGCCGACGGTGGGCACGGCGCGCCACGGCCGGCGGGGGCAGAGTTTGCTCTCTTGCAGGAGATGTTGGACAGGGAGGCTCAGGCGGCGGCGGCGGCCAGAGCGGATGCGGGGCCGGATGGCGGGGGTGCGGAGGGCGGGCGCATGCGGCAGGGCGAGGAGGAGGAGGAGGCACCGGCCGTGCAGGGTCGCCAGGCGTAGGATTGGGCTGAGAGGGCGTGCTCGTGAAATAGCTTGCCGCTGCCATGCTCACTTGTTGAGACAGTGTCGTGAGGGCCGTCGCTGCAGTGTTTATGCGTTTGAAGATTCCATGTTGTTGATTGCTGCTGCTGTGCTAGCATGTGACAGGCATCGCAGGCAGCAATTGTTGCCGCTGCGTTCTCGGTGACCAGCACAAGAGTTACAGGTCCGAAAACTCCCCCCGAGGCGCACGCCTAGAGCGCGCAACCCAGGCCGCCAGACCCCTCGCGGACCCTGCCCGACGCACAAAAAACACCTCACAAACCTACTTGCGCCCCTCATGGGCCCCCACGCACCCCTCCCCGCCAGCGCTAACTCTCAGCCCCCCCTGCCGTCCGAAATGCAGTGACAGAGCGTCAGTTGGTCATCAGTGGGTAACGGCACATGCATCAACAGCTCCATAATACTGGAGTGACTGTCCTGACCAAAAGGCTGTGACCAAAACTATGAAGGCCAGTTGAGGTTGCGGGGCTCTGTGCTTTGGGTGGATTGTGCTGTGCTGGTGT